TCTCTGGTTCTCTTCCTGAGGTGACATGTATCCAGTCAATATGGGGGTAATTAAAATCCCCCATTACTATAGAGTTCTCTATTTTGGTAGCCTCTCTAATCTCCCTCAGCATTTCAATGTCAGTATCGCTGTCCTGGTCAGGTGGTCGGTAATATATCCCTATTGCTAATTTCTTATTATTGGAGCATGGAATTACTATCCATAGCGATTCTATGGAACATGTTGATTCACTTAATATTTTTATTTCATTTGATTCTACACTATCTTTCACATACAGTGCCACTCCACCACCCACCCGGCCTGCTCTATGCTTTCTATATATTTTATATCCCGGTATGATTGTGTCCCACAGTATTTCCTCATTCCACCAGGTTTCGGTGATGCCTATTATGTCAATGTCCTCATTTAATACGAGGTACTCTAGTTCACCCATCTTATTAGTCAGACTCCTAGGATTTGTGTACAAGCACTTTAAAAATTTGCCACTGCTTATTTGTGTGCCCTTCCTGATGCATTGGATTCATTTCATTTTGTTTTGATTTGTGTTTGTTTTGTGTTCAAGTTACTGATGTTCCTTAACAATGTTAACAAGTATACATCTTACAAAGCCGTGCCGTGATCCAGGTACTGAAAGATACTGTTCAACAGTCTCTGTGTTTATTGGTGGTAACTTGGTCCGGGTTGTATGTACAACTGGAGAAGACGAGCGATCTAAGCCAATACACCTGTAGGATTCAGATTAAACTGATTTCAGATTCCATTTAAAACACAGGAGACATTTCTTAATACATTTAAACTAATATAAGTAACAGCACACCTAATGCCATGGCAGCTCTCAGAAAAATGCTTTATATATGCTTCATTATTCAGTATGAAGCGTGGAATCTTTCAGAAATCTCAGAGCTGGTTCCCAAATCTTTTACAACATTGCACTATTGAATGCTCTAGTTCAGTGTTTCTCAACCAGTAGTATGAGTACCCTTAGGGGTACTTGAGAAAAGTCTGGGGGGTACGTCAACACAACTGAAATTTGGAGAAAACTGAATTTTTGTTTTAAGTTTTACAACACTTTATTATTTTTGTACTTTTTACACCCAAAAATTGTATATGCTTGTTGCTATCTGAAGCAAGAGATAAAATTGCTATTAGTACAATTTTAGTTTAGTTTTTATAATTACAACTGAAGGGTTTAAAATGGACCAATTTCTTGTGAAAACAAAGAATAAAATTGCAGATTTGGAAGAAGGTAGTATACAGGAAACCGTGTCAGAAACATTTGAGGTGGGAAAACCTGTAGTGAAAAAACCAGTGGTGGAAGTGGAAATTCTTCTGAGATTAAAAAAAACACACGTTACAATTCTGAATATCTTAAATTCAGGTTTACTACAAACAGAAGTGTAACCACCTTGTGTGATTTGCTGTGAGACTTTATCTAACCACTGTATGAAACTGTCTGTTGAAACGACACCTTGATACAAAGCATCCTACATTAAAAGATAAATCAAATGAATATTTTACAAGAAAATGTGAAGCTATTAATATATCTAGTGCTCCTATGAAAAAAATATGTTTACTGAAATAGAAGTTGTCAAAATTAAAAATATCCCACATTCAAACAATACAATAAGATGAAGAACTGACGAGATGGCAGAAGACATAATAAAACAAATAACTGAAAAAATTATTCAGAAGAAACAAGTTACAACTTGACGAATCAACAGATATTTCCAATTGCATATAATTAATGGTGTTTGTCAGATACATTGACGACGAAGATGAAAAAGGAATAAGTGAGCAAATATACTGCTGTAAAGAATTCAACACTAAAACAATGGGGGAAGAAATGTTTAACTTGTTAAATGAACAGATTTTGAAACATGGATTGTCATGGGAGTGGTGCATATCTGTGTGTACAGATGAAGCAGCAGCAGTGGTAGGTTGACAAAAAGGTCTTGTTACTTCATTAAAAACTATAAACTTTTCAATAAAGTGGACTCATATCATTCACAGAGAAGCATTTGCTTTAAAACATCTGAACAAAGATTTAAACTCTGTGGGTATGTCTACACTACAAAGTTAGTTCGAACTAACGGACGTTAGTTCGAACTAACTTTCCTAGGCACTACACTAGCGCTCCGTTAGTTCGAACTTAATTCGAACTAACGGAGCGCTTAGTTCGAACTAGGTAAACCTCATTTTACGAGGACTAACACCTAGTTCGAACTAGCTAGTTCGAACTAAGGGCTGTGTAGCCCTTTAGTTCGAACTAGTGGGAGGCTAGCCCTCCCCAGGTTTCCCTGGTGGCCACTCTGGCCAACACCAGGGAAACTCTATGCCCCCCTCCCGGCCCCGGACCCCTTAAAGGGGCACGGGCTGGCTACGGTGCCCGTGCCAGGTGCAAGCCTGCCAGCACCCAGCTAGTAGA